CCGCTCCGCCAAGCCTACCTCTCAGGGATGTTGTGAAAAGATGATTTGGAGTAGTAGGGTGTGGAAGGCAGCCTCATGTGCCCCTCTCAGCTCTGGGGGGGGGGATGGAGGGAGAAACGCTTGCTCCACACTTTCACTCCCCAGCTCTGTCCTCCGTCAGTGGTGCTGCAGTTCGGGGTTCAAGGATGGGCAAAGCCAGGGCCTGGGTTGTGTCTTTCAGATCTGGTGGCTGTGGCGTGCCCTGCCCTCCCTCCAGCAGGGCTTCTTCTCTCGCAAGGGAGACCAACAAAACATCATCGCAGCTTCTGCCATGGCATTCAGTCTCCACCACACCCTTTTTCCTGAATGGTGGGTGTGTTGACATTCAGGCTGGTGCCAAAGCTAGGCTGGCCCGGCCCCCTTCCCCAGAATGACCCGTGCCCCCCTGGCTGCTGATTTGCGGGTGGCTCCTGGCTTGTGTGTGGGCTATCATCACACAAGGCTGTAATTCCTCTCCTGAAGGCTTTAAGCTCAAATATACTGGCGTTTTGGGCTCGCTACCTTTGTCTTTGGGCCCCTTTTGACTTCAGCCCCTGCAACCACTGGACCACGGCCCCAGAGAGGCTCTTCGAGATTGAATTAGACCCTCATCCCGAAATAAGTCTCAGCATCCCTGCTGCATATGGAACCATGGAATGACCTTCCCTGAGTGCAGCCAGTTTGGTTTGCTGGAGACCTCTGTCCTGCAGGGCGGGGGGAGGTGAGGGGGCAAAGTCCATGTAGGGATTCCTTAGGCAAAAGCCCGAGAATGGAAGCGGCAAGGTTCTCAGATGCTACTGCACAGACCCACAGTGAGACTGCAGCACGTGGGACATTCTGGCTTTCATCCCCCTGACACGGATGGGGCGGCGGTCCATCCTTCCGCAGTCACAGTCGCTCACAGATTCTTCAGACGATGCTGGCATCCTGTGGTTTTGCTTTTCTTTTTAAACAGGACTTTTGCTGCTGAGAGAATGGCATAGGATTTAAAGAAAGCTATTTTCTTTTGTGCATTTGTGCCGTTGGGCAGGACTGCCTAGCAGTCATGGCATGGCAAAGCAGAAAAGGGACGACGGAAGGATTCAGGGTCACCTTTCTTGCAAAATCAGTGGCGAAAAGAGTTTGGAACCTCTTTTGGGGGTTGCTCAAAGCTCTCCGTCCAGCCTCTTTGCTCCACATCTCCCAACATCAGCTGTGCTGGCCAGGAATGATGGGTGTTGTAGGCCAAAACACCCAGAGGTTGCCCATCTTGGAAACTAGGCAAAGCAGAGGTGCAGATGATGCCGGCTGACAGAACAGAGAATGGTGTGGAAAAGTGAAAAGATTTCTCCCCAGGGTAGCCAAATGTGCTTGCGCTCGTGGGCCTTGCGCTGATAAAACCGAAGCAATAAATCGTCTCACGGGACCTTAAACGGCTGACAGATTTAACTGGGGTGAGAAATCACTCCATGGGAAGTGAAGAATGCAAGGCAGCGGCATGGAGAGGAAAGCTAGAATTTCTATCTGGACTGCCCGAGGGGGCCCCCCTCCCCACCACCTCCAAGAAATGCATTTCTAATTGGCTTTTGCACTGTGCGTTTATTCAGTGCCGTGAGCATCAAAGGGGCTCCGAGGGTGCCCCCCCATCTGCCTCATTCTTACTTTTGGGGTGGGGGAGAAGTGTCCCTGGAGAGCTTGAGGTTGGACGGTTGGTGAGCAAACACACCGCCTTCTATTCAGGGACGGCCTCACTCTGCAAACAGAAACCGGACGGCTGCTGCCTCCTTTCTGCCGGTCGCGAGGTGATGCAGCAGCACAGGTGACTGGAATGTGAGGGATTTGGGAACGTCGGAGGCTGGGGGCAGCAGGCGGAAATTGGACACCGCCTGGGTAGAGCTTCAGCTTTACGGATGGAATCTGCTTCAGCCGGTGGTGTCTGCTTCTGTCTCCGATGGACAGCCCAGAGGGTGGGAAGGGGAGCCGTCTTGAAGAGCGGTGCCCAGGCATCGGGGGCCGTCGCATCCGCCAAAGACCGTGCTGTGGATCGGCCTGCTTCTTCGGGCGCGGGCTTAGATGTGCGCATTGAAGGGGGCGGCTTCCCAAAACAATCGTGCATGGTGGGGGGAGGACAGCTGGTCTGCTGTCCCCCCGCCCCATGGTGGTAACAAATGACCCGTTTCTGAAAGTCCCTAAAACTTATCTGGAGGGTTTGAAAGGCTGAGCTTGCACTGGAAGAAAGGACTTGCTGTTCGGAAAGGCTGCAGTGAATAAATGTGGATTGTGGGCACTTTGGAGAAAGCTGCTCTTTCTACACCTTGGCTCCGCAGACCAAATCCGCCGCCCCGCTTGGGGTCCCTGTCCAGCGCTGTGGGGTCTCCAAGACATTCACAGCCCCCTTTCCCTTCCCACTGATCCTTGGGTGGCTTATCAGCTCTTGCACAACATTCCCCCAATTGTCAAAAGGCAGATTGCCCACCTACGGCAGTGAGAGTGTCACATACGCGATGTTTCTGTGGCCTTCTGCACGCTTCTGGGTTGTGCCCTGTGGGGGGCCTGTTGCTGGCAAGGTTTGCTAGCGAGGCTGCTCCCTCCTGCCCCCCAGTTTATCTGGGAAGGGGTCCTGCCCGCTTCCTCAGTTCTCTTCCAATTGCCTTTGTGGGTACATTGGCGCATTACGGTGCTCTGTGGTGGCATCTCCCCAGCCCTAGTTGCTTGGGGGCAGTGGTGAAGGAAAGATGCGCTTGGCATGTGCTCAGTGGCACCCTTCCCCTTATTTCAATTCCATGTCATTTGTGTAAATGCAGGATTGATTTCTGGCAGTGAAACATGGGTTCAGGGACTAGTGTGGAGGGAGTGCTGGCTCAGGTTAAGTTGTGTTTTGCTTCTTGATAGAATACTGCTTTGGCTTCATGAGGACTAGTGTGTTGTGTTGGAGAATAGCCTCTTCTTTGCCTCCACACCGCACACCCACCTTCTGTCTGCTGCTCCGTAGTGCATCCTTCGGACTTGACCCTGCATGACCCTAACGTTGGAACGCCGTTTGAGCACAGTTCGTTCCAGGGAAATACGCTCCACGGCACTTCGTCCTTCAGATGCAGGTCTGCAGGAGACGGAAACTGGACGAACGCAAGCAGGGCTGATGCATTGCCGGTCTTTTAAACTGCATCTCAGACTTGCTTTATTCTGCTTTTCCGCTGCAACCAACCTCTCCAAAACGATTTAGAGTAACAGTAAATCAAAACCTCAGTTTAATTCTTTGTCGAATAAACAGAATAGCTTGGATCCAGATTTAGGCATGAGCGATGGAGTCGACCCGCCTTAACCTGTGCAGCCCACTGAGAATGCTACACTGGGAGTAGGGAGACCCCACTGAACGGGGCTAGCAGTGGCCCGTGTGGGGAAGGAGGGGTCTCCCAAACTCGGGCAGAGAGATTTTATGCAAGTGGGGCGCTCCCCTTTTGGGTCCAACCCCAATAATCGGGGTGGGAAATGGCTGGCAGGGATCCTCTGCAAAAGCGAGATGAAACGGCTGCCGCGTGGCAGCCGGGTCTAACCTGGCGTGGCCGAGGGGTGTCGCACGACATCAGCTCATAGCCGGCTGTGGGGGCAGCGATGGGGCTGCGGAACTCCTAGGCAGGCCCTGCGAAACGAAGGAACCGACGGGTGGGCCATGCCTGGAACTGAACCCAGCCGTGCTTCCAGTCTAGGGATTTTGTGGCATTGCCCCCCTTCCTCCATGGAATTTGGGGCGTGTGCTCAGGGGAAGTCAGCTTCCACTTGCAGCCCTTCCGTGTTTCCTCATAGAAACACAGAAAACAGAGCGAGAGAAGGGGCCTCCCGGGCCATCTAGTCTGACCCCTGGCTCCAGCCGGCTCCGCTCACAACATGCCCACCATGTGGATGTCCAGCCTGTCCTTGAACACCCGCACCGATGGGGCCTCAACGACCCCCTGTGGGGGCCCATTCCACAGCCTCGGGGTCCTGACTGTCAGGAAGCGCTTCCTAGCATCCAAATTGAGCCTTGGTTCTCATGGCTTCCTCCATCGAGGAAATAAAGATGGAATAACTAGTTGATGCCTTCTATTGCTGAGCCCTTTTCTTTATTTATTATAGTTCTACCTCCCCGTTTTCCTTTCAAGGGACTCAAGCTACCTTACATAATTCTCACAGTCTCATCCTCACAACAGCCCTGTGAGGTAGGCTGGGCAGAGAGTCAGTGGCTGGGGGGACTGGACCCCAGAGCGCCTGAGTCCCAGTACTGTACTCTTAACCAGTGTACCACATGGGCTCGGAGCCCCCCATCTGGAAGCATCGCTAGTCTAAACAGAAATGCCTGTCTTTGATATTTTTCTGGATAATCTTGGTAGTATTGCTTTTAATGCTCTGGAAGCTGTAGTTCTGATAAGCATATTTGACCTGTTATTTTTAAAAGTATGATTAAAATAAAAACGGCTCTTGCATAGAATTAGCCATTTTTAGTCTGTCTTCCAAAGAGATTGGGGCAGATGCCTAGGAGAGATTTTCCATCCAATTTCATCAGAAATCTCCCTCCATGAGAGGTATTTTGGACTAGAACCCCCAGAACCCTGGCCATTGGACATGTTGTCTGGGGCTGATGGGAGCTGTAGGCTAAAGTATCTCGTGAGCCAGTTTGCCTTCCCGCTGGCTTGTCGTAATAAATGCATCAGCCTTCAAGGTGCCACCGCTCTCTTCGTCACTCAGAGGAATGCCGTGGTGTGTGGGTGTCTGTCTTTCTCCATGTAAGAGAAAATCAGATGCACGAAAGGGGATTTGACCAGTTTTTGACCCTTTCAAAAGCTGCACAAAGTTTTAAAGTTTGAGCACCAGCAGGCTGGGGGTGAGGAAGCCCCTGGCACTGGCTGGCAGCTGAATGCAGTCAGGACCTGTGGTTCCTTCCCCACCGCGCCATCCGGGCTAAGTTGCATGGAGGCTTCAGGTTGCCCTCACCTCTGATCCATTGTTCTCCTTTCCTCCTCACACAGGAAGAAAACCGTCTACAAAAGTGTCGTCTTCTCCTTTGCCCTGGTGGTCGCCGTGACGGTGCTGCAGAGGCGCATGACCTCCACCCAGTTCTTTCAGGGCCAGCCTCAGAAAGAGCCCATCTCCCAAGAGCCCGTGAAGGCTCAGAAGAGGGATGGCGTGATCTCCAGCGCCAACAACTTCTGGAAGAAGGACGACTCCTCCCTGAAGGACGCAGAAGTCCTGGAGAAGCAGGTGACCTCATGGGATGTCGTCACCATCAATTGCACAGCCAACCTCAACTTCAGCAAGGACGACTGGTTCCAAGGCCTGGAGCCCAACTTCCGCCAGTTCCTGCTGTACCGGCATTGCAGGTACTTCCCGATGCTCATCAACCACCCGGAGAAGTGCAGCGGCGAGACCTACCTGCTGATTGTGGTGAAGTCCATCATCACGCAGCACGATCGCCGGGAAGCCATACGCAGGACGTGGGGCCAGGAGAAAGAGCTGGGTGGAAAGAAGATCCGGGTCCTGTTCCTCCTGGGTGTGGCGTCCAAGGAAGAGGAGAGGGCGAATTACCAGAAACTTCTGGAATACGAGAACCACATCTACCGGGACATCTTGCAGTGGGACTTCTTGGACAGCTTTTTCAACCTCACGCTCAAGGAGGTGCATTTCCTGAAGTGGTTCAGCATCTACTGTGACAACGTCCGGTATGTCTTCAAGGGCGACGACGACGTCTTCGTGAGTCCCAGCAACATCGTGGAGTTCCTGGCAGACCAGAAAGGGGACAACCTGTTCGTGGGCGACGTGCTCCTCAAGGCCAGGCCCATCCGCAAGAAGGAGAACAAGTACTACATCCCCAGCGCCCTGTACAGCAAGAGCACCTACCCGCCCTACGCAGGCGGCGGCGGCTTCGTGATGGACGGGCAGCTGGCCAGGAAGCTGCACAGAGTGTCGGAGAGCCTGGAGTTGTACCCCATCGACGACGTGTTCTTGGGCATGTGTCTGGAGGCCCTGAGGGTGACCCCGGTGGCCCACGCCGGCTTCAGGACCTTTGGCATTGTGAAAAACAAGAACAGCAAGATGAACAAGGAGCCCTGCTTCTTCCAGAACATGCTGGTCGTTCACAAGCTTCTTCCACCGGAGCTGCTCGTCATGTGGGACTTGGTGCACAGCAACTTAACATGCTCCAGAAAGCTCAACGTCCTTTAGCTCGCCCTCCCCTGGCTGAAGAGAAAAGCCAAGGGGAGATGCGGGGTGCTGGCCGTTGTGGGGACGCTCCCAAAGTCCTCTCTTCCAGGAAGGTGGGAGGGAGGGAGGAGAAACCCTGTGGGGAGGGGAGGGGAGGGGTCTGGGGAGTGGGCCATGGAAAGCTGTCCTCCTCGCATTTTATTTGTCCCCCGGGGTGGGGATTTTGGAGGGCGCTGGAAAGGCCGGACAGTGGTGGGCGGGTCCTTGCTGAGAGGAGAAACGCTGGCGCGAAAGCGAACTGGGCGTCCGTGTGGGGCGTGTGGCGGGGCCTTCCGGATTCTGCCTCCAGCCTTCACGCGAAGCCACAGAATGTCCACTGCAGTGTGTGTGCAGAAGCTGCTGGGCAGAGGTGCCCCCATTTTGCTCTTTGGGGGGCAGTCTCGCAGCGAGGGCTGGTCCCAAAGCTACAACACTGTGTGTAGGTGTGTCGTTTCAGCAGGCGTGTGTGAGATCTTGAAAGAGCAGATCTTGGGTCGCCGCCGGAAGTGCAGAAGCTTCGGCATCATTGTCCCCTCTCTTACCCCAAGGACTTTTCTGGTGGGAGATTAATCCACTCAAATGCCAGCGTGCATTTTTGGACACCTTGCTGCCACACACACACACCTGAAGGCAGAGGTCGCATCAGGTGGCACAGAAAACTGATCCTCTGATTCTCGGCAGAGTAACCTCAGATCAAAGCTTTGCATCTGCAAACGGAGTGAAGGCACATTTTTAAAAAGGAGATGTTGCCACCTGGAATGAGAGCCTCCTAGCCAGAGAAGTACAAGGGAGGCTTGAAAAATGTGGAGCACCCCCAAAATTCAAGGGGACCAGCCCAATTCTTTTAATTTCTTTTCCTTTTGGTGAGCAAACCCGATGGTGTTTGTGGCGGCAACCGAGGGCTGCCAGGGTGAAGATTAGTCTGTGGGAGATCTAATTTCAACCCCTTTGCATTTCTAAAACAGCCAAGGATGGCTTTTGTTTTTATTTATTTTTAATGCCTCCCCCCATTTTTTGCCCCCGTGGGTGTTGGTGTGGCCAAGAGCAGGTAATCTGTGGGGAAGTGAGGATGGCCCCCGTCCCCCCAAATTTGCCCACCCCTGCTGTAGGACTTGGGGTGGGCAGCTTGTGACCTTCCAGATGTTCTGGCCTTCCACTCCCCTCAGGCCTGGCTGGCAGATCCAGTGTGGGGGATTATGGGCATCGTAGGCAAAAACATCTGGAAGGCCATGTCAGCCACCCATATTATTGGTTCTCCCCTAGAAACTTACATTGCATCCCTGTGGGGAAGAGGTACAGCCCCAGCAGGTCTTCCGTTGGAAAAGCTCGGCATTCCCATGCGTGCGCGCGAGCGCATGTCTTTTGTCTTTGTGCTTCAAGGACAAACCATGGACTGACAAAGTCCTGCTTTTGTCCCATGCGCAGACTCACGGCCTGTCTGCCAGGAGGTGCGTTTGGGTTCCGTCGCATGGCCAAGACATCCCTGAAGGTGTTTGCGCAAGACTCGCCACCTGCCCCAGGATGTGGAGCCAACATCTTGGCGAGGTCGAGTGCCCTTTGTTCTGCTGGGGAGCCTCGGTCCCCCTTGGGCATGGAGGGACACCTGCCCTCTGTGTGCCGGTTTGCCCTTCGTAGCAGCTTGTGTGAAGGGCTGGGCCAACGGCGGCTTCCCCGGAGGTTTGGCAGGCAAGCCCCAGCTTGCATAGCCAAGAGTGTGGACCGTGGCAGCTGCAGGGGAAATATATTTCTCTCTCTCTGCGGGGCCACCAGTTGCCAGCCTCCCATGGAGGGTGGTGGGCCCATGGAGCTAGGCCCCCCGGCCCTTGAAAGCTGTCGTCTCGCCATTCCCAGTCCACCCGAAGCAGTAGCCCTGCGCAGTGCCCTCTTCTCCTCCTGCAAGAGGGCAGCCCTTCGTGCAACGGCAGGAGAGGCAGAGCCCAGTGTTATTCTATTGTCCGGCGCTTTCCATATTTAAAACACATGCTCCTGCAGCGCTCCAAGCATGAAAGGCCAACGTGCGCAGACAACTATGGCGGCTGGAGGCATGCTTTCTCTGGGAAAATCTGGACCCAAGGAGACCACTCTTTGCTGGGCTGCCACACAGAGTTTCACAGAAGAAGCGTGTCTCAAAATTTTCTCGGAGAGGACCAGCAGAGTACCCTTTAGCTTCCCCAGTTTCTGCCACAGGATCTGCCTTGACTTCCCCATCAGGAATTGTAGTTTGGTGAAGGGTAAAAGAATTCTGTTTGCAGCCCTCCATTTCCTCTCTCCCTCGCAGACTACCTTTTCCAGAGTCTTCCATGGCGTTAGAGAAGTGTTCCTGGCCAGGGAGATGATGGGTAAAGCAGTTTAAAGCTGGGATGTACCGTCAGTGCCATTGTTTACGTAGTCCGCGGTGTCCTCCACCAAGCAGTGGACAGGAAGCCCGCAGGATAGTGGCCGTGCACCGAACAACACAGGCTTTTAAAACTCAACCCTGCGCATGTTTACCTGAGTGCAGTGCCTTACGGGCTTCAACAGAGATTGGCTCTTGGTGGATGCAATGACTGCCCTGCAGCGGCTGGTCACTTCTCAAAGACAGAGGCCAAGCCACCAAAATATTTAACCTTAAGCCCATACAACGGCAGTGAGATCTGGAAAAACCAGTGTACTGGGGCAAAACAGAGGCCTCGGGGCTGCTCACATTCCCTGCCAAAGTGTTCGTTTTTGTACAGGGTTTTTCCCCGATCCCAAAGCTGTGGATTTGCACAGGATCCGTGCATTAGACTTGCTGCCGTGTTTGTTTGCTGGTACTCTAGATGGGCCAGGCTAGTGGGCATGACGCCACTATTCTTGCTGCGATGAAAACTTGCTTGGTTCACTCCCATTGAAGTCCAGAGGTATAGGAGTCTTTGCCTGGACTGTGCTCATTAAGGACACAAAACCTTGCATGTGCAGACAGAAATGCCAATTTCTTCCAACGTGTCACAGCAGAGAGCCAAACTGCTTTTTCTGAGCAAAACATGCCTAGGAGCGCCCCATAAGCACTGTAAAGCTGGCAGGCTGGAAATGACTCTCGCATCTTTAAAAACGTACTCCAACAAGAACCAAGATCAGACTGAATTCAGTCTGCTTCTTCCAAAGCCTAGATTCAGAAACCGAGTCACAGAACCCTTGAAATGTTCCCAGATTTTGGGGGAAATCCATGCATGCAGCTTTATTTTTGCCGGTGGCCTCCATATTGGAATTGGGACAGTAAGTGGAAATATGAAAAACAAGGCATTTGGGACACACCTCCCTTCCCCCAAATATGCCAGTGGCAAACAGAAGTTCAAGCTGCTCAAGGACAGCTGTTTTGGATGGACTACAACAAACATTTCATTGTACAGGAAATGACCATTCTAAACTGTGAATTTCTTATTTATGATAGTGATTTTCTCCTGGGCAGGAACACCGAGTGCCTCTTGATACGTTACTCCCAAGTGACTGCTAAGGTGCCCTCCCCATGGGGATAATGGGCACCGTATCCTGCCAGGACGGAATCCAGTGATTGCTGCTGGGGGTGGAATTCTCCTGCATTCTCTATTTATGAGAAGATGGGCCCGCCAGTCTCTCCAGCATTTAACTTACATGGCTCTACATCTGAACGCCTATTTATAACTGCTACCGGCGGGCACTCCGTGTCTGCGCACGCATGCCTGTCTCTGTGTTTGGGAAGATCTCTGTGTTGCTGTGACGCAGTGGAGCTGTACATACCAATATCATAGGATATATGAATATTTTGGTTTTTAAATAAAGTTTTGTGTAAAAAACCCAGCAATTTGGGCACAAATGCCAAACCATCTCTCGTTCTCATTGTGTTGCTTGTGGGCTCTTTCATTCACATCTTCCAGTCTTTGGGGCCTGTTCTGGAGAGGGAAGCCTAATTCCCCGAGACGTGTGGTGGAAAGGAGGCAGTGGAAACAACTGCTGGAAACCCGTAGGCCTTGTGAGAAGTGCTCTTCGCAAGGTCAAGTGCTTTGGCTTTGGTCATTCCTTGTATTTTGTAAAGAGGGAAGGGTGCCAGTAACTTGACCAAGCCTAGAGCTGCGAGGAGGAAAGCTTTTGACTCCTGGAACAAGCCTTCCCAGTGGAGGGAGAAGGGCTTGGAGGTCCATGGGGTGGTGAGCGAGAAACTGGCAGGGTCTCAACGTGTGACTCGGATGAGAGAGTTTTCTGTGTCCCATTAGGATCTTCAAGTGTGAGTGAACGTGGCCAAGATTTCAGGCAATCAGCAAAACCTTGGGAGGGTTTTAAAAGGCAAGTAGGCAAATTCCTGGAGGAGCAGGCCAGGAATAGCTACCCCTGATGGTAAGATGCTCACCTGAACCCGTTGCTGGAAAACATGGGTGCGGAGCCCCCCCCCCCCCGCACCATGTTGCTTGTGGGTTGCCTTTGGTTGGCCACTGGGTGAGTAGACGGGGAGCCGCTTGGCCTGATCCAGCACAGCTCTTGCGTTCTCGGCCTGTGGGAACCTGCCTCTGGAAATTCTACGAAATTGAGAATTCTGTGGAAGAGCATGTTCTGCTCACACAATCGCATTACAGTGGACGGAGACCTTAAGCTCCCAAGCTTTTGTGAAGCAGTTTTGCCCCTACAGCCCGAAGGTTGCCCATTCTCTGACTTGGCACAACTGCCAGCATCCCCCAGCCAGGGCAGTTCCGCTGATTATAGGATTTATTCCGTGCCTTTCTCTTCTGGCCTTTCTTAAGGATCCTACAAAGCAAATGTTCCAGATACCACATAGGAATGGAAAGCATTTCCTTTGTCAGAGCAATATGTGGAACCGGCTGCCTGGAGAGGTGTTGGGCGCTCCCACACTGGAGACGTTCAAGGAGTACCTGGACAGCCACCTGAGTGGGATGGTGTGAATCGGTGTCCTGCAACAGCAGGGGGTTGGACCCGATGGCCTTCATGGCCCCTTCCAACTCTACTATTTCATGACTGACATTTGCAGCCCAACAGTTGGCAATTCAACAGGGTAAGTATATTTGGGCTGCAGTCAAAGTCCCTAAAACACCTCCATTCCAGTGTTGGC